GACCCAGCAATTCTGCTCCTGGCTATCTACCCAAGCAAAATGAAAACACATCCACACAGAAACGTGTATACAACATTTATGGCAGCTTTAATTGTTATGGCCTCAAACTGGAAATAACCCAAGTGTCCATCAACAGGTAGTTAACAGGCCTTGTGGTCCATCCACACAATGGGATACTGCCAGCAATAAAAATGCAGTATTGATATACACACAACCACCTGATAAATTTCAAAATGATGATATTGAGTGAAAGAGGCCAGACATATACTGGACGAGTCCATTATGTAGAACTCTAGAACATGACAATCTCTAGTGACAGAAGGCAGAGCAGCAGTTGTGGGGATGGGGATGGGGGAACCACAAGGTTACTGTCTTGAGCGTGGGGATGGTTTCACATGTGTACGCACAGGTCAGAACTCATCTAATTGTACACGTGAAAGATGTGCAGGATATGCCCATTATACCTGCATAAGGCTGCCAAAGAAAGGCTAAAATACCAGGAACCTCCAAATCCACAGGCCTTTTCCCTACACGAATATTCCCAGGTGCTGGAGAAGGGTCAAGTTTGGCATTCCTGAACACAAAAGGAATCACTGCAACACTCTTGAATGTCCAAGGTCTTGAACTTGAAGCTGTCCAGGAATCCTGGAGGGCCGCTGTTATGTGACGTCATGGACACACCGGATCTAGTGTAAGATGAAATTCTAGCGTAAGAATAAATTCCTGAGAACTGTGGATGGGGCCCCTTGTGTCAAAGCAATGCTCTCTCACATGTGTGGGGGACTCACCCAACCATACCTGTTAGAGGTAAGGACCCTCAAAGACCCTCAACTCCCCTATGACTCGTCCTACACACGGACTTCGCCCTGGAAAATTCCAGCTATAGCTCTGAGAAGAATGCAGTCCATGACGTGCTGACCACGGGATGCTCCAGGGTATGCTGACTGCAATTGTTCCCGACCACCTGCCAGGTTGGAGATGAGTAACCAGTCAAAAACAGGATACCGATAAGACGCTGATTGGGGCTGATTAACCCAGACCCAAGCCTCATCGTCAACACTCTATTTTTTTGCTTCTACTTCCTTGTTTTTGTATGCTTATAAAACCTACTAAGAATCTAAGTAAAGCAGACCTTGACAATCATTCGCTTGGTCTCGTTTCTTTCTCTCGCTCATCTCTTTCAGGCACGGTCCCCCTCGCCCCCGCGAGTAACAGAAGGTCCCGCGGGTCGGGACACATACCCACAGATTAACACCTCAGGGCAGTCAGAACCGTCTAGATGACTGCAATGTATACAATTTGTGGTGGTTGTAGAACAGTTCTTTCATGTTTAGGAAAATTGTTCCTCATTAGGAACCAGCTAGAGTCTAAGCTTTTGCATGTGGCATCCCAGGCTCTCCACGCCCTGGTTCTAATTGACCCTTTAACCTGTAAATGTCCTACAGAAACCCTTCTAAGGTCCCCCAGAACACACCCTTCTTCCACCCACTTGTCTCAACCCAAGCACTTCTTAGCTCCCCTCAACCCCACAAGTGCCTCTGCCTCTTCTTCCTGAGAGCCACCCTTTGCACTCACAATGCCAAGTGTGGATGCTGCCATGTTGCCTGAAGTCTGGCAACAAAAACAACCAGAAAGAAGTCACAGCTGCATTTCTCAGGAGACTGATGTGGTGTTTTGCTAAGAAACACATGGGACCAGGCATAGCCTCCCTTCTTGGTCTCAGAGTCACAGTGCCCACCTGGCCTCCAGTGGCTGCCCATGATCCCGGTCAGAGGAGCCTGCACCCTGGGCAGACCTGAGGCAGCTCTCGCCATGGGGCCTTTCTGTCTCACCTTCGCAGGGGCCCAAAGGAACACCCAAACATGGGTGCTGGGCTCTTCTGCACAATTCCACGCTTATAGCCTTTCCTGCACCCTTGAACCCAACTGTCTATCCAGCTAGTTTAAACCCTCAGAAGAGCCCCTCTGCACTAGAGGGCTCATTTCAAGCCAACACTTACAGACATTCTTTTTTTGTTTGCAACCAAAGTAAATGGGAACAATTCCATTTGACAATGAATTCGATCAGATGATGTACCAATTATATGGAGATATTGCCAGGGCACTTACGTGGCTCTTGAAAAGTCCAGTTTCCAAAGGCAAATGGCCCAAAGGTTGGTATCCAGGGTAGTTCTTGGGGCAGGGGTAAAGCAGGCAGGACTCACCCCAATAGCTCTTACGTTCTATTACTAGTTGTCCATCAAAAAGGAAGTGTGGGCCTTGTCCCTGTTCCCCACGTGGCAAGGGGGATGGGCCCAATGTCAAGGCACCATGCCAAACCCGTTCAGTTCCTGTTGCATACCTGACTACTATACCTAAAACAAAATACTAATAATTGCAGTGCAAATCTATTAATAATTAAGAGGAGCTAAATCAGGCTCAGAATAAACAAAAGGATGTGCTGACATTTTAAGTGTAATTTATCTAGGTAAGACTGGGGACCCTGAAGCTTTTCCAAAATCAGACTGCAAGTGTCCAGCATCTGCCCTGGCAAATCCACGTTCTGCTGAAAACACCTGTATGTTTTCCTCCCTGTGTCTAGTCATCCCTGAGTGTAGGTCCCCAGGTGAAAAAAGGAGCTTACTTTCAAAGCAGAGTTAGCTTATAAGTTAGAGCCAATGGAATGGGGTGGTAATGTGGAGATACAACACACTTTAGTGAACGCCGGTTACCGTGTGGCCTGCAGGGACTGCGTGGTTCACTTACTAGGGCGATGGAAGTGGCATCAGGGTGTGCCAGTCTCTTCCTTGCCTGGTTCACTTGAAGAAAGTGAGACTGGAGCCCAAGCACACAGCCTCCTGCCATTGGAGGCCCCCCTGCAGGGGGACTGCTTTCCTGAAGCTGTGCCAGCTCAGCAAAGACTGTCTGTACCTCAGAAGAACCCAGCCTTCCCAACTACCTCACCAGGGACTTCAAATGTGCCACTTCTAATACTTCTTTTTCTACTGGGAGCCCAACGTTGCACATGCTTTGGGTTGCCTCGAGGTAAAGCTAGAGAAACTACAGCCCCAAGTCTGAGTTCACTGTGCCAGGAGTGCCAAAAAGTTAAACGTTCCTTTCCCACGTGTTTACTAACCGCAGGCACTGGGCTAGGCACAGAGGACACAGGGACTGAACATGACATGCAGCTGTGGGTTTACAGACAAGAAGGCAACCATAGGATGGGACTACAGGCACCCAATGCAAGAGGCTATGAGACAAGAGCAAGTTACAAGAACCCTAGGACTGCCCACAACATCTATATGTATATAACACTTACATACACGTGTATGTGTGCGTATCTACATATAATTGGAGTTCTCTTAGTGATTGGAGCTCCAAGCAGCGTCCTCAGAGGGAGCCCTGTATTTCCAGGTCTTCTCACACTCTCCTGATAGGAGGCAGCTATCTTTGAACCTCCCCCCTCTGGCAGGAAAGGTGCAGCTCCTGAAGACCCAGGGGGTGGCCTCCATCTACCTACCACCTACCTGCCCTCAGGCATTGTGTATGACAAAGCTCTGCTCTCCACTGGGAGCAGGGAAGGTTGGAAGGAGGTGGTCACTGCTGACCAGTATGCTGGACTGAGAGCACCCAGGGGCAGAACTCCTGGGCCTAGCTCTGGGGACAGCATGGGTGGCATAGGACAGGGCCTGTCAGCAGCTTCCTCCGGCTAGCTACAAACTTTCTCCTTGAGAACCCCGGCTTTCAATAAAGTGCCATTCAAAGGGCCTGCCTTGTCTCCGCAAGGCTGAGGGGAAGTGGGGTGGATTGTGCGGTCGCAGGGAGAGGAGCAAGGCTTGCCACCACACTCATCAGATGTTGGGCCTGGGGTGGCTCCTTTTCTCCTGCCTGAGGTCTTCTCAGAGGGGGGATTCTTATTTGGGGGGTGATTCCCTGACTTGTTCATATGGCAAAGCTCTGTGTTTCAACCTACATTAGCCCTGAATACAAAAACATTCAAAGCAACTGAGCCTCCCATATTCAAAGAAATGTCACATGAAAGAGTCAATGGGAGATGCTGGGCATGATCTGCTGCAATGCAGGGCCATCTGAGTGCAAATTCCAAACCCATCTTGCTGTCCTCCTAATTGTCACCAGCCACAAAGGCTCACTTGCCTGAGAGGAGGAGCAGGTAAGTTTGAAGCTTTAGGCCAAGGTGGCCTTTGCTGGTGGGGTCTGGGGTACAAGGCAGTGGGTAGCCAGGGAGGAGACTGAAGCCAGCAGAGTGGCTGGCAGCAAACGTGAGCTACCAGGGCGAAGGGCTCCTCTCCCAGGAAAAGAAGCTGAGAGCCCTAGGCCTGGTCTTGCCTGCAGGGCCTGGGCCAGCCTCTCCCCATAACCACCCTGGGGAGGTGATGTGGGCTGGGTGCTGCCCCATCCAGAGGCACCCGTGGGCCCACTCCTGCCCCATGACTGCATTGGGCAAGCAGAGCAGCAGGCTAGCCTCGGACCCCTCCAGCTGTGAGTGCTGGAAGAACTAAAGTGCTTTAGTGTCCCCTACCTGGGAACACTGACAACTCTCAGGGGGAGGGAGTGACCTCACGAAGGGAAATGGTCCAGTACTCTGTAAATTCAAGGGCCACTGCGCCATGCTGGCTCTATTGGTGCTCCCTTCCCCACCCCTTGGCATGCGATTCTGTCTCACAGGGGACAAGAGAGCAGATTAGCAGCTCCCGGCACAATGCGCGAACCTGCTCCCAGGTCACTTGCACATGCATTCACGTGCCTGCGCACACAGCACAGTGCCCTTCACAGCAGTGCAGGCGTGGTCGGCATAGTCCCCGCATGTCAGCTGTCAGCGGCAGTCCTTCAGTGGAGGGGTGGCAGCACACTGCGCAGGCCTCTGCAGGCTCCCTTCTGTGGCCTGTGTCTTAGCCTCAGGGCCAGGCTGTGCCCTGCATCTTCTAGTGGCCACAGCCGCTCCCCTGTGAGAGAGTCCTTCCAGCTGCGTCCATCCCCTGCAGACCATCCCACGCCAGGGACTCAGTTGCGACTTGCACCAGGCCAGGCGGCACTGCCCGCTGGCAGAGCACCTCCCGATGAGGCACTCCTGCCGGGGATCCCGGGCCGGCTGACAGTCCTGGTGCCCACCCGCTCCCACCCGCTGTGCACTGTCTGGTGCTTGAACAGGTTGGCCCGGCGGCCGAAGGCCTTGCCACAGTCGCTGCACTCGTAGGGCTTCTCACCACTGTGCACACGCCGGTGCTGGCTGAGCCCTGAGCGGCCTCGGAAGGCCTTACCGCACTCATGGCACTCGAAGGGCTTCTCACCGCTGTGGCTGCGCTGGTGGTGGATGAGCTGCGAGACACCCTTGAAGGCCTTGCCGCACTGGTTGCAGGTGTAGGGCTTGTCGCCACTGTGAGTGCGCTGGTGCTCGATGAGGTTGGAGCTGCGGCTGAAGGCCTTGCCGCACTCCGAGCACGCATAGGGCCGCTCGCTGCTGTGGATGCGCACGTGCTCCAGCAGCGTGAAGCTGCGCCGGAACAGCTTCCCGCAGTCCGGGCAGGCGTAGGGCTTCTCGCTGCTGTGGATGACCTGGTGCTTGATGAGGTTGGAGCTGCGCATGAAGGCCTTGCCGCACTCGCCACATGCATATGGCTTCTCGCCACTGTGGATGCGTGCATGCTCCAGCAGCGCGAAGCTTCGCCGGAATAGCTTCCCGCAGTCCGGGCAGGCGTAGGGCTTCTCGCCGCTGTGGATGACCTGGTGCTTGATGAGGTTGGAGCTGCGGCTGAAGGACTTCCCGCACTGCTGACACAGGTACCGCTTCTTGGCACTATTCGGGTACTCCTGCTCGCCAAGCGAACTCTGCCCGCTGCCCTGGACACTTTGTGGCACTGAGGCTCCCGTGGGACAGCCCTGAGGCAGAGGCGACCTCGCTGCCTGACTCCCCTTGGCAGCCTGAAGATCAGCGCCTGGGAGTTCTCCTTGAGAATGTTTCTGCATTGAAATCGACGTCTTGCTCTCTATCCAGTCACCTTGAAAAGACAGAAGACCACTAAAGTCACCAGCGCCAGCCCTCCCTGGGTCTATACTGAGGGTTTTGCCCACCTCATCCTCATGCCAAGCCAGAGGAGAGAGGAACAGGAGATGAGGACTTGGGGGAAGGAGCAGGATGCCTACAGAGCAGAAAGCCATCACACAGGCAGCCAGGAGCCAGAGGGGAGGGGGACAGGCTGAAAACAGCAGAGCTGGTGTGACACATGACACTGTTGCAGCACTCCTTGGAAGACTGACATCTGCCACTACAGAGAATTTCTCACCCAAAGCAGCAGCATCACCCTCCTTTGGTCACAGGTATTTTTATCCTTTTGACTTAGACAAGCTGGCTGAGCACCCATCACTCACCTTTGTGCGGTCCTGTGGTGGCTCCTGTTCTGTGGATGCCTGCTACCTAGGGCCCCTCCCCTCGCTCCAGCTGGGAGATCAGGTGAGGCTTGGAGAAGGAAAATCCTGTCAGTGGAAATGACGCAGGTCAGGACTACTGTGGGTAAGGCCAGGGTCACTCCTAAACTCAGGCCAGCCTTAACATCTTCAGGTAACAGAGAACAAAGAACTCTCTAAAAAGTGCCACTGGAAGGTCCAGAGAAAGGGCAGAGTCCCTCTAAGGAAACAAAGGGATTCTGAGTGTCCAGGGGCCAGGTGGGCACAGGGAGTCTTAAGCAGGTGGTGACTTAGGCCAAGGCACAACCATAATGTCACTTGGCCTGCAGGGAGGCTGGGAGGCTTTCGAGGAGTGGGTGATCTGTGTGGAGACCCCGTGGGACAGAAGGGTTACAGCAGGAACTCCACAGGGGGCAGGCCAACAGCCATGTGTCCAGAAAGCTGAAGCACCCTGTTTCACCACTGGACTCAACTGAGGATTCCAGAACTCTTCTTGGAACCCCAGATCTGCCTGGTAAGGGTCAGAAAGAACTCAGGGGAAGGAACTGGTCTTTCTTTATGGGGTTAGATTACAGAGGTGGCATCTGCAGAGTCTGGGGGAGTAGGGCTCAGTCTCAAGCAGGCCCCTCACACCTACATGGCAGTGGGTGCAGTGGGAGGATGCCTGGAGAGACTGCCCCTGTCAGGCCAGGCAGAGGAGCACGTCGGGCTAGCAGGAGGGAAAGGCCGGTTCCTGGGCATCTCCCTGGTGTACCCCACTGGGTAGCTGCGTGGGGCAGGGCAAGTCACTGGCCCCCACCCGCCCAGCCTGTGGATCCCAGTTTTGCCCTATTACTGGAAAAATGGATGCCCCTTTGTGCAGGAGGGGTGTGCTGGCAAAAGAGGGGGAGAGCAGCCTGCTCAGAGCTGTCCCAGCTCCTTCCTGGACTTCTTGAGGCTTGAATCCAAGTGCATGCCTGGTCCTCCTGTGGGACCTCCATGACTGATGCAAGGAAAGATACTTCTAAATTCTCTAAAGTAGAACAAAGGTAAAATGCAACCACTGAAAAAATGAATTAAGTCTAAAATAGTGCATATAAATTTTGAGCATAATTTGCATCTATCTTTTGTAGAAGGACATTTAGTCAATGCGTGATTTTATCTGCAAAATAAGTCTGATGGAGCATTACTGAAATTTGCAGGTCCACTCATTTACCTCTAACATTTACTTGGCTCCAGAGCATTCTGTTGAGATGACAGCTGGCCTACGGCGGATTAACGGTCTGATGGAGAAATACATTTACTCCTACATTCATAGTAAGCAACAAATGAGGAAACTCAGAAATAACTGAGTCTGGAGACAGAGGAGGTAGGACTAGGGATGTGCATGTTAAGGGGGTCACTTACCGAGTGACACCAGATGGCCATAGTTCTCCAGCATCACCCGCTTGTAGAGGATCCTTTGTCTGAGGTCCAGGAGCTTCCATTCTGTCTTTGTGAAGTATACAGACACATCCTCAAAAGACACTGGCACCTGAAATTAAGCCATTCCCATGGACACAGGAGAGTTCAAGCTGCAGGTCCCAAGACAAGCTGGCATCAACAAAACACGGGGTGTGGAGCCCTGGAGAGCTCAGTAGGTGGGGGAAGCTTGGGAATGCACTTGCTCCTGGAAAGAGGAGCCAACAGAAGGCAGGACACCTAGCTTGGGGCCTCAGGAAAAGGGAATGGCACATTGGGCAGCCCCGCTACCCTGGCTGCAGAGGCTGAGGGAGACGCTGGGGCAGGGGCCCCACTCACCTTCGGTCTTGATGTCAGGAGAATGGCTGCCATCACCAGGGCATGGAGAAGCTAGGGAAGGGCAAAGAGCCCACGTGAGATGAGGAAACTTCTGTAGTTTTCCTCATCAGATGGTCCTAGCAAAGCAGGGTTTGGAGAGTGAGAGGGTGAGCAGGGAGGGGCCCGCGGGTTCGGTGCCCTGGACATCCTGCCAAACAGAGCAGCCACTCGCAGCCTCCTCTCTAGGAGAGCCCATGGCTTTCTCATTCTCGTAGCTTCACTGAGGGCCCTGACCACCACACCATACATATGGCTTCCTGGGGCTGCTGTAATGCAGTGCCACAGAATGGGTAGCTTATAACACACATTTATTTTCTCCCAGTTCTGGAGGCCAGAAGTCCAAGATTTAGGTGCAGGCAGGGCCACATGTCCTCCAAAGGCTCCCTCCTTGCCTCCTCCAGCTTCTGCCGGCTGCCAGCTTCCCTCGGCTGGAGCTGCGTCACTCCAGTCTGTGCCTCAGTCTCCACACTGCCTTATTCTCTGTGTGTCTGTGTCCAAACTTCCCTTGTCTTTTAAGGACATCAGTCACTGGATTAGGGCCCATCATACTCAAGTATATATGACCTCATCTTACCTTGATTACATCTGCAAAGACCCTACTTCCAGATAAGGTTACCTTCACAGGTACGAGGGATGGGACATCAACATATCTTTAGGGGGACATAATGCAGCACGTTCCCCATCTGAGCTCCCCATGCCCATCTCTCCTGCAGGGCAGCCTGTTCCTTCTTTCCTCTCTTCCCGTCTGGCCAGCTCCCCTGACCTCAGCTTTCCAGCCATTCCTGGAAGCTCTATTGCCAGTCCCTTCTCCTCTCAGGCAGGAGTTCTTATAGACACCCCCAGTGCACACGTAACCTCCAGCTGCAAAGGGAAACCTCCTCTGAAGGCAAAGAAGGGCAGGCTGGGAGGTGCTCTGTGAAGGGGTGACATTCAGATCAACAGCTGGAGGCTGTGAGACAGCAAAGGGCCTGAGCTTGGTGCTCATGGTGCTGAAAACCAAGGTGACAGAGGCAGAAGATGAGACCATGTGGGGCCCTTAGGGGGAGTAGGGAGCCGGGTCTCATGGTAAGGCCAGAGAGAGCATGGAATTGACAAAGTAGAAATCACTCTGGCCTGAGGACCATCTTCTGGCTTTGAGAATTAATGTCAAGGCCAGAATTAATGAGAAACACAAAATGGGCTAAGACAGTCAGATAAAAGACCATTTGCTCTAAGAATGCTGTTTCTGTCCAAATAGAGACCAGCAACATGGAAGTCCCAGCAAGGAGCAGAGACACCAGGCAGTGGCTGGTAGGGGAGTGGGCTGAGAGAACTTTTATGTTCTGATGGGTGACTACAGCTTGATCGTGCCAACAATAAGGCCACAAGAGAAAGGGAGAGGGGACAGGGTCCCTGGAACATGGAGAAGGACAGCCATAGTATTCCCCTGGCATTTAAATTGCCGCAAAGTCCCTTATCATCCATGATGACTTGCCAATCGGCATTAGCCAAAAATAGATAAACTCGTGTTTCTGATGGAGAAGTTTGTATTAATCAGAAAAAAAGAATCCCTTAAGGTAGAATGGATGTTAGAATCATTAGGTGAAAGACTAAGGGGGAAAGAGACATCACATGTCAAAATATCATTCCCTGATTATCTGCTGGTCACAAGAGAAAAATTTAACTTAACAGTGGGACAGAGCGTGAGAAGGGCTCTGCCAAAGCCATCTGATTCGATTCTAATGCAGCCTTCAGATCCAATGTCCAGTGTCCAGAGCATCTAGGGGACAGAGGACCCAGTTAGACACCCCGAGGAAGCAACTTGCATAAGGAGGCTAGAGAGAGAGATTGTTCTAGATGAAAAGAGATTTAAGGGGCCCAACACCCAAGTGCAACAGGGGTCCTCAATAAAATGCTGGCATGAAGGAAAGCCTCGGCAAAGGCAGCGGGGAGACTGTTGGTACTCATGCATTGGGTGGATGATGGCACTGGGTCATGAAGAAAATGTTCTGCTAAAGAAATGCACATTGAAGCGTTTGGGAGGAAATGGCAGGCAGCAAAATAAAAAGAAGGGGAAGCAAATAAGACTAATCTGGAGGAGGTGCCTGGGTCTCCCTCAACTGCTCTACTCATCTGTACACTTGCCAGGGGCAACAGTAGCAAGGAAAAAGGGCTATGGAGAACAGTTTAGTAATTCCGCAGTGTGTTAAACATAGTTACCATACTACCCTGTGATTCTACTCCTGGGTATTGACTCAAAAGAATTGAAAACAAGTGTTCACACAAAAATGCACACATTCGTGTTCACGGTAGCATTAGTCACAAGAGCTCAGGGGTGGAAACGGCCCTATGTCCCTCAACAGCAAAACGTGGTCCATGTATGCAATGGAATAGTCTTTGGCCGCAAAAAGAAATTCTGACACACGCCATAGCGCGGATGCACCCTGGGGACGTCATGCTAAGTGAAAAACACCAGATGCAGACACACAAGGCCACATAGTGTGTAATTCCATTGCTGTGATGTAACATAACATTTCACAAGAGCTTTCTTGACCTAGTTCTGAAGTTGTGACTACAAACTTTCTTCTCTCTGCCCCTTGAGGGCAGTTTGCTAAGCCTTCACCCCCACCACTTCCCTTATCGGGGTCCTTCTCTCCGGGGCCACTGAACACACACTCAAATGCCCCCCTTACTGGGCTCCCACACTCTGGGGCTATGTACTAGACAATTAGGGACAGCCTTTATGCCCCAGAGCCCATGAAATCATTCAAATTAGCCAATCCACAGGGATCTCAAGAATCCCCACTCCCACTCCACTGGCCATACCAAAGCTGTCCCCACAGCTCCAGCTCGACATTACCCTATAATGCACCCAAGTGCAACCCCCTGTGCAGCCCTGTGTGGCAGCCTTCTCTTGTTCAGGGCTCTAAACATCTATCCTGGCGTCACTGCGTTTTGACCTGCCATCCTAAAAATCTTGGAATCTTATAAAATGTGACATGTCCGAATAGGTAAATCCATAGTATCACAAAGCAAGGCGTGACATGGTGGCTCGTGCCTGTGATCCAAGCACTCTGGGAGACCAAGGTGAGAGGATTGCTTGAGGCCAGGAGTTTGAGACTAGCCCGAGCAAGAGTGAGATCTGTCTCTACCAAAAACAGAAAAAATTAGCCAGGTGGTGTAGTCCCAGCTACTTAGGAGGTTGAGACAGGAGGATCATTTTGAGCCATGGAGTTTGAGATTGCTGTGAAGTATTATGACACCACTGCACTCTACCCAGGGCAACAGAGTGAGACTCTGTGCCAAAACAACAACAACAAAAAAAGCAGCCTAGTGGTTGCTAGGGGCTGGGGGATGGGAACTGCTAATGGCTGTGGAGGTTCCCTTATAGGGTGATGAAAATGATCTTGAGTTAGATATAGGTGGTGGTCACACAACATTGTGAATGTATTAAATGACCCCTGAATTGTTCTCTTTAAAATGGTTAATTTTTATGTTATGTGAGTCTCACTTGTATTTATCTATTTATTTATTGAAACAAGGTCTTGCTCTGTCACCACGCTGGAGTGCAGTGGCGTCATCACAGCTCACTGCAACCTCAGACTACTGGGCTCAAGTGATCCTCCTGCCTCAGCCTCTTGAGTAGCTGAGACTACAGGCGAGGACCCTATGCCTGGCTAATTCTTTAATTTTCTGTAGAGATGGGGGTCTCACTATGTTGCCCATGCTGGTCTCAAACCCCTTGGCTTAAGCTATTCTCCCACCTCAGCCTCCCAGAGTGCTGTGATTATAGGCGTGAGTCACCGTGCCTGGCCCTCACCTCAATTTTAAACAGGAGGGGAAAGAAGTGTTACTGTAAAGTAATCATTCTCATGTCCACAGGCCACACATAAATCCCATTGTAACACTGCCAGTCACTGAGAGCCCTGGAAAACTAACAGTGTGTGGAGTTTTACCAATAATTACAAGTATTTTTGGACTAGTATAATATCATTATGTTGAAAAGCAACATGAGCTTATTTTATCCCTGCCATAACAGCACTGTGAGTTCACTATCCATTTTGGGAAAGTTGAAAGGAGGAGGTGTTATCTCTAGTAGCCCCACTCCAAGACATAGTAGGTAGGTCCTAGCCCCCAAGGGAGCAGAACACTGTCAGCTGCGACTGCCTGAGTGCAACACTCCATTGGCAGGATTCCACCTGTACATGGAGATCAGCGCTGAAGTTCAACATCAGAAGACCCAGTGGAGATGCCAGCCACGTGGAGTGATCACACCGAACAGTACCTGTATCTGAGACCTAGTCTGTGAAAGTCAGCCCTAATTTCAGCTCCTGGAAAGAAAGACATGACAAGCCCAGTCCTCACAGAGTGGAAGGTGACTAACCCCAGACAGGCAGTGTGCACAAGGAAGCTCCTGGAAGGAGCCTGGCAGAACTGGGGAGCGGCTTCCTCCGCAGCAGTGGCAAGACCCTATGACCTTTGTGGGCCACCAGAGGACAAGCTGAAAGATGATTGTCCCCGAAGCTCAGGTTTCCCCCAAACAAAACGCTGGGCACGCATGTGAGGGACTATTAAACCACGCGCCTCACGTAAGAAGCCAGGAAGGCCCGTCAGCCTGGGGAAGCAGGAGCCATCCCAGTCTCCTGAGAGGAGGAGCCACCCCACCCTGCTTGCTGACCATAGCAAGGGTGAAACAGTATGGGGGGAGGGAGGGTGGCTAGGGAGTGGGGCTGCCAATTCTAGTGAAACTTGCCCAGAGAGAGGGAGAGCCTGCTTCAGGACGATTCCTTTAGACAGTCACTAGATGGGGCGATTTCCCCAGAAAAAGAAAAAAGAAACCAAACAAACAGCATCAAGAAAAGTAATCTGACTCAGGCTGGATCAGGAATTTGGGCTTTTTCATCCACAAGGTGGGACAGACAGGGCTGCTTCGCTCAGGCTTCTTTCTTCCTGGTGGAGCTTCCTCTGGGGTCATGTAGCTCAACACCCAGACTTGCTCCCCTCAGTCCCACCAGCT